TCTTGGTTCATTTCGATATTGGCATGTATACGATTGAAACTTCACGGGTTATGGCCCCTGGTTGTACGAAAAATCGCGTTTTTAGCTTGTTGACCCTATAGAGGTCACAATTTTAATCCTCCTATTCTGATGAAACCCAAAGATCTTGGTTCCTTTCGATATTCGTGCATATCGGATCGTAACTTCCTGAATTATGGCCCCTGATTGTACGACAAATCTCATTTTTAGCTTGTGGTCCCTCTAGAGGTCACAATTATTATCCGATTTAAAAAAAAACCTTCGAATATATCCCCGTAACAACATAAAGTAAGTTGAGTTCGAATTTCGTGAAAATCGGACCAAAACTGCCGGACAAAATGGCCGCCCCTCATACGCGATTGGTGTAAAAAAAATATGGTATATCAAGGTTGTGGACCCTCTAGAGGTAATAATTTTAATCCGATTTGGATAGAACTTGAAATACATGTTTATAACCCAAATATCTTGGTCCATTTCGATATTCGCGCATATCGGATCGTACCTTCCTGAATTATGGCCCTTGATTGTACGAAAAATCTAGAGGTCAAAACTTTTATCCGATTGAAAGAAAAACGACGGCTAAATTTGAATTTCGTGAAAATCGGGCCAAAAGTGCCGGACTAAATGGCTGCCCCTCATACGCAAATAGTGTAAATATATGGTACATCAAGGTTATGGACCCTTTAGGAGTCACAATTTTAATCCGATTTTGATGAAACTTGAAATATATCTTTATAACCCAAAGATCTTGGTTACTGTCGATATCCTAAATTATGGCCCTTCATTGTTCGAAAAAATCGCTTTTTGTTTAGCTTGTTCTCTATCCATCTCTTGCAAAATGTGGGCGTATCCTGCCTGGCAGCCGCTGGTTTGTTTATTTTATGTCTGTAAATACTCTACAGGTTGCAATTATGAAAAGATTTTGTTCAAATTCAACACATCAATCATTTCAATAACAGGGTTGTACCTATTTATATTGTCACATCTCCAACAACCAGGACCACGCCCAATTTTTGTTTATCGTCTGCAGACTGTAGTTCTGAATGGATCATCTTGGAACTTGGCATATTTATTCCTTATACCGTAAAGACAGCAATTGTTTAATATGGTGCATGCCCCAACCCCATGGGGCAGTGTCACACCCACGTGTTGTTAATATTTAGTCTGTAACACCTAGCCTTCTTCGCTTCTTATCATAATACAGTCATTGCAAGCATTTCAGTTTCATTCTCTTCATTTTAAAATGTACAAGATCAATCAAAGCAGGAATGTGGTCGTATATTGCAGCGGTAGCGACCCTCTCGTCAACTATTATGGTCAGAGCTGCCAGCTCTTTATTTAATCTTACATAAAGCCCCTGAATTCTGTATGTCCACCCACTCCCTTTCGATATTTAATTCTAAAGAATTATATATGTATCCATAATACATGACTGTCCTGTATAGATCATCGACTTGATAGGTAAAATGTTAAAATTGTGTACCGGAAATAAAAGTAAAATAACGTCGGTTACTTCCCCGTATAGATCATCGACTTGATGGGGAAAATAAATGGAAATTACGTAAAATAACCTCAGTTACTTTGATCTGTTGCACGGGGGGGGGTGTTGGGTGGTCTAGTGGATTGACGCGTGCGCGTGTAATCCCAAGGTCTGTCATTGAGTCTAGTGGCGTGGTTTTGATTCCCCTATGGACGTGGCAAGGAGTTGGGTCGCCTGTCCAACCTCGTGGGTCTTCTCCGGATACTCCGGTTTCCTTCCACAGCTAATGACCTCTACGCGTCATCGAATTGTTGAACTTGAACCATATGTTAGGAAATTACATCGCCGACTTCGCCAATCTGTTTCAGAGAGTTATAGCAAAAGTGGCATTTTATATATAAGATGACTGACCCTTATAAGTTCAAATGCATTCTACATGTGACGTCACATTACTGGTTTGAATTAACATAACGTGATCTGGCCAGGCTGAATAGTCCCTTTTACTCGTTTTACACTAAATAGGAAATGTACTTCAAACACCTTTATTGATTTTACTAAAAAAAAAATTAGAACTTAATTTGCAGATAGAGAAAAGTTAATATTGCAAGCAAATTATGCCGCGCCGATGTCATCTCTTTCAGTGATTGTAGCGGCCTAACGAATATTCACTTCTGATAACTGTGCTACTTTGCAATTGGCGCAGGCAAGCTAACAACCCGAACGACCGAGTATAGCGGTATATTAGATTCTAAATTTGTTAATGTCGTGCTATCGTCTAATTTCTATTCATGTATTTTCTAAATTAAGACAATATATAATCCAATTTCTTTATTTGTTCAGCGTAAATTCAAAGTCTATTTCATCTTATTTCTATTATTATGCATAAAATGTCAAAATGTTTTCTTCGTTGAGGATTTACATGTTTGGCGTTTGGCATGAACATCGAATAAATTTAGAAATGTGACATTTACCTTCATTACGCATCTATCGTAGACATGTCAAGGTTTGGAAAAGTGGACCATGAAAAAAAAATTATGGAACATTTTCTTTTTATTTCTCTGGAACAATAATAGCCTATCCTTTCTATGTGTGAGATGTGGGGAAAATATATTCTACAAATATTATTCTGTGGTGTTTTTTCACAATATATTGGACTTAGAAAAAAAAAATTCAGCGCAGACCCCCCAATATGCTTGTGTGGTACCACATAGGAAGGTCTGAGAAGAATTTTTGGAATATCTTGTGGAACTCCTGTGGTGAAAAACACCACAGACCAAAAACACTGTATCACAATTATTTTTAGTCAAGATATTTTTTCTATGTCCAATTTCTTGTGGAACTCTTGTGGTGAAAAACACCACAGACCCAAAACACTATATGAATATTATTTTAAGTCGAAAATCTTGTTGATTGTATAATTTGTTGTCAGAAATACAATATCTTGTGGAACTCTTGTGGTGATAATTTCCACACAAATGCCCCCAAACATTACCATAGATGATCTATCGTAGCAATGATCTCCGTGTTAAAATTATATTTGGAACGTGCTTAACGAGTTCTATCACATATGTAATAATGACTAACACCAATATTGTCCTTTAATTTAGACAATGAACCTTCATGCCAAACTTTATCAAACGCTTTTGATACATCACAAAATGTAAATCGAATTTGCTTTCCGTTATCAAGATTACTTATTATAACATAATAAAAGTCTAATACAATAATTGGGAGATGGCTACCTTATCATACAATAATGGGGAGATGGCTACAGTTTTAATTTTCAAAATTTGTAATAGATTTTGCTATTTTCCACCATTTATTTTGAGGCAGGATTTTATTATTTATTTGTTTTTCTAATTTGTCTTTAAAATTACTTTTAGCTTCCCTAATTAATGTTACTACTTCATTTCGTATTTTTCTAAATAATAGCCATTGATTAGGAGTATCATTTTTGGCGCGTTTGTGTGCTATATTTCGTTTTCGAATTTGTATACGTATCGTGTTATTTAATGGCTTATCATATGGTTACTACTTTTGTTGGGATATACTATATTATTGCTTTATTTAATACATCTAAAAAAAATTTGCATAAACTTGCATAAATTCGTTATTGAAACTTTCATAATCTGCAAGTTTATTATTTCTAATAGTCCTTTTCTATGTTAATTGTTTTTATTTTTAAAGATAATATTATTGGTGAATGTGTACTGAATATAGGGGCATTAACATTAGTATCTGATATAAATGATTTCTTATTAGTAATAAAAAGATCAATGCATGACCCGGGTAGCGTTGTGAAATTAGTCGGTTCTGTAATCAGATTTTTAAAATTCAATCTTTGTAATAATTTTTTGAATTTAGCACAATTACTTGAATTACTTAAAATGTTTATATTAAAATCCCCTGTTAGGATAAAAAAAAAAGAAGGAACCACCATCTAATGCATTAGATAACGTATCGTAAAATATATCCCAAAGGGCAACCCTTGTATTTAGGTGTCTATATATTACTCCGAATAAGAATTTGGTGTAATCAGTAAATATATCTATACAAATTAATTCAATATCAGGGTTTATGACATCATGCCTAATCTGAAAGTGAAGATTATTTTTGATATAAACAAAAAAAAACATGCCTGTTTCTATCGAATCTAACAGGACTTTACACACGTTTTCTAGATGGGATTCAGTATACATATATCATGGTTAGAGAATTCAGCTTCAGTTATATCTAATTTTGGCAATAGGCTACAAACCAATGGAAATGTTACCTGAACTTAATGTATTTAACGGACCATGATTTTGTTCTATGCAACCTACAATTAGTAAGTTTTAATTACAACCAAGAGATGAATACTTATACCGTAACATGAGATATAAGTTCACATATAAGGTGTGTTGATTGTTCCGTTTGAGAGGCCGAATTATATTATTAGTTTAAATCGTGACTGTCGTTGAGTAATATTTTACTTCCCATGTAAAATCGGAGCAATCAAACATATATTTATATCTATATAGGTATGTATCCATAGAGAGAGATTCTTTAAACTAAAAGTTACTTTAAATATGAAATTGTTACATTTTACACCCCAAGAGGTTTGATAAATGGAATACTGAAAGGGTGATAAACAAATATACAATACATTACATAACAATAAACAAAACATCCAAATAAATATATTTACAATCACAGTTACTCGAACCAATTCATAAATAAATCGAGGTATGAGTCAACATCTCCAACAGTTAGATTACTTTCTTATAATTGAAATTATATTTCATGTTTTAAACGCGAGTAATTAAAAACCAGTATTAGTGGGCATGGGAATTTATAATAATATATGCAAGGGGGTAAAGCTCGTAGATAGTAATTTAAGTAATCTTTTTTTTTTGCACTCCGAAAGGGACACGTGAATGAAAGTGTGCTATTCAAGTAATAGTTAAATTATATCACAATTATTTTCAATATCAGAGTTCGTTTCATTGTTGAAACGATGAGAGAGAGCGTGTTACAAAGATACTTATACTATAAAATACATTCTTGGTTGTCATACGAATAATATTAGTTAAACAGTTGATAAGAAGTTATCGGAAGCATAGTATTACGGTTTGGGCTGGTAAAAGAAAGGGTAAGCTGGTTTGAGAAATACGTAAAACAAAAATTTAAATTATCAAATGTTAAGGCAATCTATTGAACTTAAGAATTTTTATTTGTTGCATATTCAACCCCAGTAGAAATATTATATCGTATTTTACTCATGTTATAAGTGTTTTCTGACCATCAGAATTTTGCAAAATCTTCCCCCGAAGTCCAGGTAATGGCATTTCAGGGATTTTAGACTCACAAAAATTGGGGGGAGGGGGCATGCCCCTAGACCCCCCTTAGTAAACTCGTACCAGCGGTGGTACACCCCTAACTGCATCACTCTCGTATTAGGGGCATTTGTATCAGTCGGTGGCATTTTTGCTAACATCCCCCCCCCCTCCAAACAAAATCGTTATGAACGGCCCTGCGTGCACAATTTATTTATATCATCACTACCGACAATTATAACACGATTCAACTATCACTTAAACACAAACTTTAATATTGTTCTTTTTTGTCCGAGATATTTCCTGTTTTAAAATGGATAAAAACAAGGTACCACAAGATGACAGAACGGTTAAAAGAGGATGTTCAAACGAGAGTGGTGATGAAATGGAACACCTGATACCAACTAAAATAGGTAAAGAGATTTAACCAAGTTGTTTATACTGTATTACTTTTATATTATTAAAACTATTTATTGCTATTGATTTGTATCCGTAATATAACGAAATGAAATGGAGTTTAACGTCCTAATCTTCTGCACCGACTGAAGAACGTGGGGGGGGGGGGGTACATCATTCGCCTACCGTCAAGGGTTCTGTTACCTGTATGCTAATCTCGATTGTTCGTCCCACTCGACGAACCACTGTAGTTTGCCCCTTGCCAGGCACTCTGTCCTATACCACTGAGATTTAGGTGGGTGGACTTATGGGAACTATATAACAGATTAGTCAACTATAAATACGATCAAATAGATATTTAGCATCAACAAAATAAAGTTATTTATTCATAGGCGTACGAGCCAGCTGCCCCCTAACTTTCGGGCAATCTGACTTTTTGGGCAGACGGGTAAAGTGAACAAAAATGATTTTATTTCATCTACTTACTTTTCTTTAAATTGAATACCACGAAGTTGTACTGAATTGACATTGGATTAAGGATTTTGTCTGGAGTCACTCTACTTGTTTGTGCATGCAGCTGCAGCAGTCTGATTGGGCGGTTAGAAAGTTAGGTCGGTATAGAGTGGGATTTCGGTTACAAAACCATTGGACATCTTTGTAGTTACTTAACTCACGGGCTAGAATAGCGACGGTTAAATTTTCAAAATTGGCCCCGGGAGGGAGAGGCCCCTATACCCAGCGACGATTGATTCATTGTTGGGGATTCAGGTCACATTTAAGTTGTATTCACGGGCTGGAAGAGTCGGGAAACGCGTTTGCGACCGTCAAATATGCTAAAATGTTCTTTGGGGTTCCATACACGGTAGGCTCTGCTCCTTCGCCTCTCGCAGAAGACCGGCACCGCTTTCTGTAAACCCAAAATTCTTTTCGGGCATTTCTGATTCTGCCCCCTAACTGTCATCGAGCCCGTACAGTGCTAGGACTATCTAGGAAAAAGTGCTAAATTTTGGATGTTTGGGTTTGGTCCGGTTCACTGATTTTAATTGCTTGGTATGCTGATCTAAACAACATGTCCGTCTTGAGTAGTATTGCCCTAATATAAATTACATAAGCGTTGACAACTATTAACCTGCCAGTGGGAGTATCAAATAACTTAACATTTTAATTTCTAAAATAAAAATCTCATTTCATATAAAGTCTTTGATATCAGTTGTTTAGTCTTCCAAAAACCAAGTTTTATCATGCTGAGCTATTTTTGTACGCCCATATTTTCAAGTGGACGTGTATTGAGTCGCCCCTGTCAGCCCACAATTTATTTGTGGACACGCGGTTCCTTTTGATATTGGCATTTTATCCAATATTAAAAGCTGTTCTAACATATCACCACTCCACCCTTATGATGGTTGAGTTCGAATTTCATGAAAATCGGATTGAAACTGCCCGCTCCTCGTTCGCAAATAGTATAAAAGTATATAATACCAAGGTTGTGGACACTGTAGAAGTCACAATTTTTTTATCCGATTTTGATCAAACTTAAAATATATGTCTATATTCCACGGATTTTTGTTTCTTTCCATATTCGCACATATCGGTCCGTAACCTCCTAGATTATGGACCCCGGGTGTACCAAAAATTACAGTTTATACCCGATTTTAAAAACCGTTTAAATATACACCGTTACACCCTGGGTTTGAATTTTGTAATAATCGGATCGAAGGCTGTGGTCCCTCTAACGATTTGTATCCGGTTTTGAAAAAAACTTAATATTATATGTTTATGTATCAAAGATCTCGGTTTGATGTTCGCGTATATCGGGCCTAACTTCTTGCCTTGTGGCCCCTATTGTACGAGAAATTGTAAGAATAATACTACGAGTTCTTGATGTGGAAATTTACACGGAAATATTTATTTATGGCTAGGGATATGATATCATATCTTTCTTATCTAAATTATACCCTGGTTATATATATTATATCCTGGTTATATATATATATATAAGCAGGATCTAATTTAGATAAGAAAGATATGATATCATATCCCTAGCCATAAATAAATATTTCCGTGTAAATTTCCACATCAAGAACTCTGTGGTGACAGAAATGAAATGAAATGAAATGGAGTTTTAACGTCCTACTGTTCTGCTCCTAACCTGGGCTAATGAAGACCGGCATACGCCATACAGTGTGCTATAAGGGAAATTTTGCCCGGACAGCGGCACTACGGCCTACTCTTATATCGAATTCCAACTGCCAAGGGATCTTTTACGTGCACGCCAATGTGTACACGGGACCTCGGTTTTTCGTCCCATCCGAACGACTAGATAGCTTTCCTTGTCAGCCCCTCCGTCCTGCATCACTGACAAGGGAGAACCACGCCGGAAAATCTGGATGAACTTTCTCGGCCAATGCAGGGATCGAACACCCGACCTCCAGGCTAGCGAACTAGCGTCTTACCCACTTAGCCACGTGATCCCCCTGTGGTGACAGAGAATATAAGTAATATTGTTATAATACATTATTAAAGGTGTACTGTTTTGTTGACATTGACAATAAATTCGCGTTAACAAAATAGTTTATAAAGTCTAGTATTGATGGCGATATTAGCGACCTTTGATTTTGGCTTGCTGTCGTACTGTTGTCTTTTCGCCTCAGAAGTTGATGTAGTCTCTACTTTCAAGGTCACTTTTCGACTTTCGTGTTTTGAAGGGGCGAAAAGTAGAAATTATAAATGGTAGTTATAGGCTTCCATAAGATTGTAAGACAAAATAAACATTTTACCATCGGTTCACGAATGCCTTTAAGTGCCATTTATAACAAGGGACTAGAAGGACGGGGCTAGATATATTCCACAAGTAACTCAAACGGTTACGTCATATTCCTATCTGGAGAGCATGCGCAATAAATACTAAATCAGTGTATGTACATTCACATTACATTATTATTTGTGTTGCGAAACATTTGTGTCAATTTCTAGGTCCTAAATATTAGCGAGTTAGCTCTTTTAAATAACAAATACATGTAGATTGTTTTGGGGTGACCTTTTCCCTGTATGTAAATAATCAGTAAATGTTCATATTTTTGCACCAAAATAGATAATTTTGGATCAAATTTTCTTTTACTGATAATTGATAAGTTCGTAAATAGTATTGTACGATGGATCAATAGGCCATTAATATTTCGATATTGGCCCCTTTCTATAGAAATCAATATATAATTGACAAGAGTTATACAATCGTAATGTGCTCAACAACCCTTGTTTTACTTATGAATATTTATCTCCCCAAGAAAAAGTTCCAAAATCATTTAATTGGTTAACATCAAATTGGTCAATATCAAAGTATATGAGTAGAATAATGTAAGATATTTTATACCCTGGCTTAGACAAGCTGCTGTAGATATTACATCAAATTAATAAGCTTATTATTACATTATGTAATATTTGAATCAATATTTTTTAATTTTATTAAATTGTTATTAAATTTGTTTATTTCTGTGTTTAATTTGATTAGTTTTTCTTATTCTCTTATTCAAATTTCATAGAATCTGATTCCAAACCCATCTAGCTTTAGTGTTACATTCTAAATATATAGAGCAGTGTAATATGACACTTATACAATACACCATCTGAATAGATAATAATTGGGCTACAATTTATTGTCTTTGAGAGGTTGGTGACAGGATTCTCTTCAACAAATCTTTGAGGTCACATTCCCAAACTTGAAGAAATCTGGCTGATTTCTAGTTGGTCTTAAGACTGCGTACGCCTATGTATTTATTACAAATTTAACGTCCAATACATATTACGTGATATTATGGACAGGTTGATTTAAATAAAAGTATTTACATACGAAGGAGTATTAAAAAAATATAAACATACAAATAGTCACTTTAAAAAAAAACACGGTATTAAAATTCGCTGCCGTCAAAGTAAAGTCTAGTTAAAACAGGAGGTCCAGCTGATTGGTATCGTCAATCTGGAAAGACAAAATCAATTCTAACACAATTATCTATAAATTATGGATAAATTTCTGTACAATCAGATATCAACCAACTAGATAGTATACGTATAATACATTTAATACGACCAAATCCGTTATATTTATAATATCAACCATATCTATTATATGTAAGACAACAATTCACTAACGCAATCAGCTATCAATGATACAGTCAGATCAAATTATATTGAATAAAATATAATACTATTGACTCAGAAAGTATATTATTAACATACTATATTTGTAGCTAAATCATCAGAGAATGAGAGAGATACAGATAAAAAAATAAAAACATGGAGCAATAAAATATCTCAGATATCAGATCTACGAGCACGAGATATAATATATGACATGCTAGATCAACACTGTCTATCAGATTCAGATTTAGATTTTATTCTGAAGAAAGAAGAGATCAGTCGGAAAGACGGACTAGAAGCAATGATGGGAAGGATACACAGTTCAGGACAAACTGTTTATCTGGTATTTTTAGATGTATTAAAGAAGAAGGGCTATGATGCCATCTTGGATATTTTACCGAAGGTAACTAATCATTAATATTGGATATTTTATCAAAGACAGGTGGAAAATGCTTGATAATGCCACCATATAACTGGCTATTGTATTAGATGTTTGGCACCTCAAATGATGTCACCAGTTTATAACTGTCATTTTATCCATTTAATTTGTATTTTAGTTGTATTTTAGTTAATTTTTACTTTATATTTTTACTTTATTTTTACTTTATATTTTTAAAGGTTAACGGCCAAGAGAACTATAATAAAACAACTGGTAAGATTTTAAACATAAATGGTAGAAAGGCCTCGAAATAATAACTTTAAACAAAATGACAGGCAATACAGAACTAGTACCTGCTATTTTAACTCTAACTATGTCAGATATGTAGTAATTGCTGATGTATTATGTAAGGTGAAGAGCTGACAATTCTCGCTATGATAGTTTAATAAATAGAAAACGAATAATGAATATATTGAAAATTTCAATCAAATTACTTTATTCTGAGTGGAGTTATGGCTATTTAGAGTCTCGTTTGTCATTGCTATCGTTGTAATGATAATAAGCATTGTATCCATATCCAATTTTAATTACGTTATTATGACGATCTTGCACATTTTATTTTATTTATATCATCACTACCGTCAATTATAACATGATTCAACTGTCACTTTAAAAACACAAACTTTAATATTGTTCTATTTTCTCTGAGATATTTCCTGTTTTAAAATGGATAAAACCAATGAACCACGAGATGACAGAACGGTTAAAAGAGATATTCCAAAGGAGAGTGATGATGAAATGGAACACCTGCTACCCACTAAAAAAGGTAAAGAGATTTTACTAAGTTGTTTGTAACGAATGCTATACTCTATTACGTTTATATTATAACTAGTAATTGCTATTGATTTGTATAGAGACGGTATTTTGTAATACCGATCAAAACGTATAAGCAATATAGAAGAAAAACATGGGTTAGTTTATATTATGGTCGTATACGTTACTTGTCCGTAATACCGAGTTGGTCGTTAGACAAGGTTTCACTGTATATAATAAATATACATAAATATACATAATAACTTGTTTAATTCAGTATTTACTGTTATATTGTTTTCTAGCTAAATTATCAATTGAAAGTGAAGATATCAAACAAAAACATAAATTCCAGACGATACAGGAAAGGTAAGTAACTATCTAGGAAAGATGAATTATTAAGCTTACATAGTAAATATGATTTCTGGGATTAACTGACCTTTTAAATAAATGTAAATAAATCATTGACCTAATCATCAATATTTTTATGTTTTACAGGTTAACTCAAACTGTTGATGACGTCAACATTGATCAAATAGAGACCATATTAAAAGAACTACAGCCAGATGACGTCAGAAGATTACAAGACGTCATTATAAGTTTAACCTGTCAATCATTAGAGAGAAGATATTTACCACTTGTTAAATTTTTATTTAATAATATTATAATATTACAATCTGATGGTCAACTTGATATTAATTTAAATATACAGTTAATGACATGTGCTATAAAATCAGATTTTGTTGAAGGTATTCAGTATCTGTATAAAAGGGCATTATATTTAGAGGTTAAACATGACGATAAAGTATGGAGTGCTTTGTTGGAATCTGTTAAGTATGACAGTTTTAATATTACTAAATATCTTTTAACCGTTTCGGATATAAATCTAAATCCAGGTCTCGATAAAACTATATTAATGTTCGCTAAATCTGGTAAAATGTTATCAATTCTTTTAAGTAATGATCAAATCAAGAACATGATTAATTATAAATCAAAATCTGGTTTCACTGCACTATATCACTGTACAGAAAACATTGATGATGTTGCCGAATGTTTAAACTGTATTAAAATTTTAACAGAAGCTGGGGGTGCATTCGACAAGTTCAATTTACTACATGTTATTTATAAGTATGGTGGTAAAGAAACATGTCTAGATATTATAACATTATTAATAAAACACGGTGCTGATGTTAACATGGTTGAACAGTTGAATAGCACACCTTTAACATGTGCTATAGAATACCATGGCGATAAAGGTAAAATATGTTTAGATATTATAAAATTATTAATACAAAATGGTGCTGACGTTAATAAGGTTGACGGTTATAGAAAGTCACCTTTAACATGTGCTATAGAACACCATCGTAAATGTTCACATATTATAGAATTATTAATCGGACGAGGTGCTAACGTTAACATGACTGACGAGTTACATGCGTCACCTCTAACACGTGCTATAGAACACCATGGCGATAAAGATACCGGTGAATATATTATAACATTATTAATACGGAAAGGTGCTGACGTGAACATGGTTGACGGGTATGGTAGAACCCCATTAGCACGTGCTATAACATATCATAGTGATAAAGGTACAATATGTTTAGATATTATAAAATTATTAATACAAAATGATGCTGACGTTAAGAAGGTTGACGGTTATGGTATGCCACCTCTAACATGTGCTATAGAACACCATGGTGATAAAGATACAGGTATTATTGCATTATTAATAAACCACGGTGCTGACGTGAACATGATTTACAAGTCTTACTCGCCTTTAATACAAGCTATTTTACAGCATGGTGGTAAATATCCATGTAAAGAGGTTATAACATTATTAATACAGAAAGGTGCTGTCGTTAATATGGTTGACAAGTATGGTAGATCACCTTTAACATGTGCTATTGAACAACATGGTGATAAAGATATGTGCATATATATTATGGATTTATTAATCAAATATGGTGCTGACGTTAACATGGTTGATAGGATACGTGGATTACCTTTAACACGTGTTATAGAACACGTTGGTGATAAAGATACAGGTATATCATTATTAATACAACACGGTGCTGACGTGAACATGGTCAGCAGGTATGGCACACCTTTAACACATGCTATAGACTACCATGGTGCTAAATATTTATGTAAAGGTATTATATCATTATTAATACACCACGGTGCTGATGTTAATATGGTTGGTAGGCTTAATACGACACCTTTAACATGTGCTATATCACGCCATGGTGATAAAAATACAGGTTTAGGTATTATAACATTATTAATAAAGAAAGATGCTGACGTAAACAAGGTTGACGGTTATGGTATGTCACCTTTAGCATGTGCTATAACACTTCATGGTGATAAAGGTAAATGTGTAGGTATTATTAAATTATTAATACAGAATGGTGCTGATCCCGCCATGAGTGCAAAGCTAAGGCCTTTAATGTATGCCGCTCAATACGCCCACGATTTAGATATTATTAAATTAGTGCTTGTAGATAGTGTTAATGTAAATAAAACTAATGAGCAGGGTTTGTCAGCTTGTAGACATTGTTTTGTAAAAACAAACAAAAATGAATATGGTAGAACCTGGGTCAGCAAAAGGGATTTCAGAACTACTTTGGCTATATTCAAACTTCTAGTCGAGTCTGGGGCCGATTTGGTTGCTAATGGACCTGAACTAATGTATGATATTATTAATTTCGGGCAGTTAAAGATTTTTGAGTATTATATAGGATTAAAACCATCAGTGGATAGTTTTACTGAAACAACCAATCAAAATATTTTTCATCGCTTGGCTAAACTGAAGGGTAAGTTTAGATCACAGAAGTTTAAATGGTTGTTTAATTATACTATTGATATAAATCATAAAAATGCTGTCAAACGTTTACTTGAGACTGGCGGAAATATCGATTCTCAGGACATAAATGGAAAAACTGCTTTGATCTTGGCGGCCATGAATACAAATACAATTATTATGCATTTATTACTTGAATTGGGCTCAGAACTTAATATTTTAGAAACAAAATATGAAACATCTGCTTTACATTTTCTAGACCTTGATAATAGTAGATATTGTTTAAAAACATGTATTATGAGAGGTGGTCATAAACTTCTGAATTTACCAGGACCAGATGGCAATACACTGATACAGCGAGCTTTACTTTTTCCTACTTTTTATGAACCAGAGAAAACTCTTGATTTAATAAGATATTTCGTTGCTGAAAACTGCTGCCTTCAGCATCTTCAGTCTGTATCTACTGAGCGTAACTACTACAACCATGATGTTTTTTTAGATGATTTTAATAGTGAAGAGAGAAATGAACTTAGACAACTACTTTATCGAAGTGGGGCCCCAGAAGAAGAGGTTGTTTCCACTGTTAATTTTAAAATGGAAGATGAGCTAAATGACCGAGGTGGAATGGTTCACTTAAACAACAGGGAAAAATTCAAGTTTGCATGTTTTAACTTATCTCTTGAAGCGAAGTGCATAAGAGTCATCAGGCAGAAATTGGGACTAGGAATAAAGGAGAAAGTTGAACAACTACTGTTTCCTAAACCTCTGATAAGGAAGATCTTACTGGTTGATCTTCTTTCTAAAAAATACTTTGGCCGTTATTCCATGGATGATTATTATGATAGTGATGATGATGATGATGATGATTATGATGTTGATAGTGATGATGATGATTATGGTGATGATGATGATGATGATGATGTTAAAGATGCGAATGATACAGATTCTGATGTTAGTGAAGATGATGATGAAAAAGATTCAGATGTTAGTGATGGAGATGACAAGATGGATGGTGAAGGATGAAGTTATTATAGATGAGGATGACAAAGATACGGGTACATAATTAGAGCCAGGATGGATAACGTCTTGTCATGTACCTCTTAGAGATTACTGTTGACTCAATGATAGACCTTCTGATCTAACGCGCACACGTTAACCATTCGGCCACCCAACCCCCGAACGGTGATGATGGTAGAGTAATGATATTACAATACCTGGACGTTGATGATGATATATTATGATGGCTGTGTCCATGTGTACCATCTTGGCGGTGATGATGATAATAGTTTATCACCATCATGTTACTACCGGGACTGCACGTATTTAAGCCCATCCGTTATTTAGCCCATGGGCGTACATTAGATTATTGAATTAGAGTGGTCTCCCTTAACGGATGTTTGCTGAAACATGCTATCCATGTAAAATCTCAGTCAGTATTATACGCTAAGTGTTGTTAGGGGCGTAAATTATATTATTGAATTAGAGTGGTCTCCCTTAACGGATGTTTGATCATGAAAATGCTGTCTTTATTAAACTTTGAATATTCTACATGTTTTGATTGTTTTTGCTAGTTTTTCATTTTTAAGCCCTGGGCTTAAATTCGACTTAACTGTTACCTGATGAAAACAGGTATTAATAGTTTATCACCAATATGTTACTATTAATAGTTTATCACAACCATGTTATTATTAATAGTTTATCAGCACCGCGCTATTATTAATGGTTTATCAGCACCGTGTTATTTTTAATAGTTTATCAGCACCATGTTATTATCAATAGTTTATCAGCACCTTGTTATTATTAATGGTTTATCACCACCATGTTATTATTAATAGTTTATCACCACCGTGTTATTATTAATGGTTTATCACCACCGTGTTATTATTAATAGTTTATGACCACCATGTTATAATTAATAGTTTATCAGCACCATGTTATTATTAATGGTTTATCAGCACCTTGTTATTATTAATAGTTTATCACCACCATGTTATTATTAATAGTTTATCACCACCATGTTATTATCAGCACCATGTTATTATCAATAGTTTATCAGCACCTTGTTATTATTAATGGTTTATCACCACCATGTTATTATTAATAGTTTATCACCGCCGTGTTATTATTAATGGTTTATCACCACCGTGTTATTATTAATAGTTTATGACCACCATGTTATAATTAATAGTTTATCAGCACCATGTTATTATTAATGGTTTATCAGCACCTTGTTATTATTAATAGTTTATCACCACCATGTTATTATTAATAGTTTATCACCACCATGTTATTATTAATAGTTTATCACCACCATGTTATTATTAATAGTTTATCACCACCATGTTATTAATGATTTATTAGCACCGTGTTATTATTAATGGTTTATCACCACCGTGCTATTATTAATATTAATGGTTTATTAGCACCATGTTATTATTAATAGTTTATCAGCACCATGTTATTATTAATTGTTTATCACCACCATGTTATTATTAATGGTTTATCAGCACCGTGTTATTATTAATAGTTTATCAGCACCGTGCTATTATTAATGGTTTATCAGGACCGTGTTATTATTAATAGTTTATCAGGACCGTGTTATTATTAATAGTTTATCACGACCATGTTATTATTAATAGTTTATCGCCAACATGTTATTATTAATAGTTTATCAGCATCATGTTATTATTAATAGTTTATCACCACCATGTGATTATTAATGGTTTATCACCACCATGTTATTATTAAGAGTTTATCAGCACCATGTTATTATTAATAGTTTATTTGCACCATGTTATTATTAATAGTTTATCACCACCATGTTATTATTAATAGTTTATCACCATGGTATTATCAATGGTTTAACACCATGTTATTATTAATGGTTTATCACCACCATGGTATTATTAATGGCTTATCACCACCATGTTATTATTAATAGTTTATCACCACCATGTTATTATTAATAGTTTATCAGCACCATGGTATTATTAATAGTTTATCACCACCATGTTATTATTAATGGTTTATCACCACCGTGTTATTATTAATAGTTTATCACCACCATGTTATTATTAATTGTTTATCACCAATATGTTACTATTAATGGTTTATCACCACCGTTTTATTATTAATTGTTTATCAGCACCATGTTATTATTAATATTTTATCACCACCATGTTATTATTAATGACTAGTCAGCACCGCGTTATTATCAATAGTTTATCAGCACCATGTTATTATTAATAGTTTATCTTCACCATGTTATTATTAATAGTTTATCAGTACCATGCTATTATTAGTAGTTTATCACTACCGTGTTATTATTAATAGTTTATTACCACCATGGTATTATTAATAGTTTATCACCATGGTATTATCAATGGTTTATCACCATGTTATTATTAATAGTTTATGACCACCATGTTATTATTAATAGTTTATCACCACCATGTTATTATTAATGGTTTATCACCATCATGTTATTATTAATGGTTTATCAGCACCATATTATTATTAATAGTTTATCACCGCCATGTTATTATTAATGGTTTATCACCACCATGTTATTATTAATGGTTTATCACCACCGTGTTATTATTAATAGTTTATCATCACCGTGTTATTATTAATGGTTTATCAGCACCGTGTTATTATTAATAGTTTATCACCACCATGGTGTTATTAATAGTTCATCACCACCATGGTATTATTAATAGTTTATCAGCATCATGTTATTATTAATAGTTTATCACCACCATGTTATTATTAATAGTTTATCACCACCATGTTATTATTAATAGTTTATCACCACCATGTTATTATTAATAATTTATCACCACCGTGTTATTATTAATAGTTTATGACCACCATGTTATTATTAATAGTTTATCAGCACCATGCTATTATTGGTAGTTTATCACCACCGTGTTATTATTAATGGTTTATCACCACCATTTTATTATTAATGGTTTATCACCACCATGTTATTATTAATGGTTTCTCACCACCCTGTTATTATTGATAGTTTATCACCACTATGTTACTATTAATGGTTTATCATCACCATGTTATTATTAATAGTTTATGAGCACCATTGAATTATTGATATTATTATTAACATTGTATTATATGTTCATGTTTTCATGCACTGCAATAAATGATGCTGTTTTCTGTTTCCAAATGCAAATTGTTCCACGTGGTCCTTCGGGTACGTTTTGGACACACTGCACCTGGCTTAGACATTTGCCTTTATTTTGCCCCTGTCCAGTTCAGATACATCAAGCATCAACTAGCCCGTCCAGTCCAGGTACAACACGCCATATTTCGCCTACGTCAAGTCCCAGTACAACACGATTCAACGCGCCCACCTCCACTCCCTGTACAGCACGATTCATCTCGCCTACCTCCAGTCCTATTACATCACGCTTTATTTAGCCCACGTCAAGTACCGATACTGCACGAAAAATTTCACCCACCTCCAATCCTGTTACAGCACGATTTGGAACGTCAAGTTTCGGTAGAGCACGATTTATGTCGCACGCCTCCTGTCCCGGTATAGCACGATTAGTCTGGCACACCTCCAGTCCCGGTGCAGCACGATTTTATCTTGCACACATCCAATCCCTGTGCAGCACGATTTATCTTGCACACATCCAGTCCCGGTACAGTACGTTTTATCTCGTCTATACCAGTCCAGGTACAGCATGCTATCACACCCAGTATGACAGGTGTTATCGATTGCAGATTAGGTCAATTTAAAAACAGTTCATGCTGTGGCGTTTTAAGGAATCAAAATACTTTTATAGCGGAGAAATGATATGGATATGAAATATGACGAGGTATCGGGTTCAAAATGATATGGTGTTTAAACTCAAAAGTAGAAAATCAAAAGTAAAAAATCAAAAGTAAAAGGGAAAACTCTTATCTAAAAGTGTATTTTAATGGTGGAAACTTTTAACAAAATCAATATAGCTTTTCAGAATTCTACTTTCATGGACAGAATTCCTACCTTCTACTATCAACTTTTGATTTTTGACTTTTTGCTTTCAACTGTAAACCGTCAGAATTCTACTTTCATTGACAGAATTTTTACTTTTGACTTTCTAATTTTGACTTTTGACTTTCTACTTCAGATTTTCTACTTACGATTTTCTAACGCAGATTTTCTCCAATATTGTGGTGGCCATCTAATTTCGCAGTATTAGTGAGAGCATTCGGTAAAATAGATTTGAATATTATAGTGTGGTTGTTGATTGGTCAACTGTATCAAATGCAGCCGATAAGTCTAACAAAATAAGAAATACACGGTGTTGATTGTCCAAAGACAGCAATATATCATTATGAACCCTGGTTAATGCTGTTTCTACACTATCAAATCGCTTATATGCACTTTGAAGGGGTTCTTGTAAATTATTATCATCTACATTTTCTATGAGTTGATTGGCGATACATTTTTCTATGATTTTAGATATAAAATTTAAATTTGACACAGGCCGATAATTTTTTAATATATTGATATCCGGATCTAACTTTTTAATAATGGGTTTAAAATTTGCAATTTTATACAAAGTAGGTAAAATGTCTTGTTTTAGACAACAATTAACAATATCTGTTATAAATTTAGATAAAAAGTTTAAGGACTGAAGTCGGCCGTTAATCTAACGAACAGGTTTTCGATGGTGACCCTTTGATTAAAGCCTCAATACCACTCTTGTAGTAACTGAATAATATGCCACAATCTTTATTCTGGTAAACAAATTGCACTATTTTACAATATTCCAATTAATTGATGATACAAATTTCATCTTAACACACCTAATTTAAAAAAATTGGAAAAATTCAACTAAATGATTTGAAAAGCCTGACGTAAAGCTTTTCAAATGTGACTTGGATTTAAAAATATTTTTGAACCCTCTGGACAAGTAAAATAGGATTTAATGGATAATTTACACAACAGGTCAGACACTAACACATCTAGTACTTAGAATAAGGCTATTTTTCTATTTTCTGGAGCTGTCAAGCCAGCCAGAGTGTTATTGTTCCTTTAAAGCGCTATGACAAAAGGTTCACTTACAGAACTAAAAGAGTTGAATGACACAGAGAGTGGTTCGGTGTTAATATCGATATCACAATTTAAGATATTCAGATCGTTTCTAATGAGAGAGACCGAATAATTCTTTGAGACTTTTATCACTATTAGTAATCTTATCTGAATAAAATTTATCTTTAGCACAGTCAATCATGGAATTTACGCGGTTTTTAATGCTTTTATAAATGTCCTTGTGAATGAATAGTTTTGATTTACGTCAGGTCTTTTCAGCATGTTTTCGTAGTTTCTTGACTTCTCGTATCTCGTCATTAAACCATGCACAACCAGGGCGTGAATCAAAATGGTTAGTTAGTTTTGTACAATGGTAAGTAACACATCCCGTCTCCTTACATCAACAAGACTTGTGAAATTGAAATATTAAAACAGCAAATATCCTTCAGGTCTAACCAAACTTGACGAAATAATCACAATAAAAGTAACCTTTGTAATATTCCAGATGTAGTTCCAAATAAACAAGTTTAACAAACAGTTCTAAAACACCTCAAATTACATAAAATAACACAGAGCAAAACATTGTGGCAGCCACTGAGATGGCGCTCTATACATAGAGGGAGAAGTGCGTGTGAGTGTGTGTGGGGGGGGGGGGCGACAAGGAACAGTGTCTAACGTAGTTATTTGGATGGGTCAAAAACCGAGGTCTCGTTTATACATTGGCATGCACGTAAATGAACCCTTGACAGATGGAATTGGAAATAACAGTAGACCGTAGCGGTGCCTCAGTGAGTAAATCGATGGCTCGCTAACTAGGAGATATCGAGTTCTATCCCGGTGTTGGCCAAAAAAGTTCCTTGCTTGGAGAAAGTTCCTTCCTTCCGGCGCAGTTTCATGGTGGTGCAGAATGAGGGAACCTGGCAAAAACATGATCTGGTCGTTCGACGAATGGGACGAAAAAAAGAAATGCTGTGTAGCCTGAACATTTACACATCGTAAAAACGCTGTCCGAGCGAAATGTCTCGCATGGCACACTTCATTAGCTCAGACAGGGCAGAAAAGTAGGACGTTAAACCCACTTTCATTTATTAGCTAGCAGTTGGACTCTGGTTTCGTGCCTTAATAATAATTGTGTAGGCACACTGGTAGAATCAGAATAATATTTCCATATTATCAGACGACGAACATCTCCACATCAGACCAAACTGAACCAAATGTTCATTATGAAAGTAAAACAGATGTGCCAAGTGATCTACCTCACCAGAACGCAACATCTGATAACGAGGTTCCCCATCAGTACGACACACTTCACGACAAGGGTCCTCATCAGTACGACATACTTCACAACAAGGTTCCTCATCGTTACCACACACTTCACAACAAAGTTCCTCATCAGTACGACACACTTCACAACAAAGTTCCTCATCTGTACGACACACTTCACAACAAGGTTCCTCATCAGCACGACACACTTCACAACAAAGTTCCTCATCAGTACGCCATACTCGGTAACACATTGCCTGGTGATGCCCGTCCCGAACACAACAACATCAGGCCCGGCGGAGTTGGGGGGGGGGGCGCTTTAACTCCCCCGAAAAATTTGACCGCGAGTATTCCGTTCTCCAGGTTATTGCACGCAAGTAATTATGCGGTTAGATATGAGACCTTGGTCCTGTTTCACAAAAACTTAAACTAAAATCACTAAAATAGATTTTAACTAAAATCAAACTGAAATTTTAAATTTTATGCGTTTCACGAAGATCGATTGTAACTTAAAATGCAATTTTAATAGATTTTAGTTAAAATTGCTTTCGCTCGTGCAGTGCACAATTCCGGCCGGTGATGGCACTTAGGGTGTAAGCATACACGCTTCGGAACTGAAAACTGTTGCCAGATTGAACTAACCGTTACAATACCAATGAGAGTTTCATACGTTTTTCAATGTCTGCACATGGTCAAACAGTCGTAGAGAGGTGAAATAAATAAGGTTATTGCATGTTAATTCGTTTTGAAATGTATCAGTTGGTTGGCCTTGACCTTGGCATTTGATTTACTCGCAGGCTTCAATGGAAATAATGCGTATCGATAAACTAAATCGCTTGAATTTCGTAGTTTTATCACAGAGTTCTATGGTTTTATGGTATTTTGGATAACAGGAACTAATGAGAAATTGTCAGAAACATGTGATATTTTTGACTCAAACGATTAATCTCGAATAAAGTATTGTCGATTTTTAAAAGTATTTTATAACTTTTAAACTAATACACGAAATAACCAATGTTCCGATGCCTGGATTTGAAATGTCAGTCCCATGGACCCTTTTAATAATAATTTGAAAATGCCACACTCCTTATTGGATAATGCCTATATATCTTACTAAATTAAAATGTTTTTTTCCCAGTATAAAATACCCTTGGCTCCTATATATATCATCATAACCCCAAAACCATAGATACTTATTTGCATATGGCGTATCTAGTATTATAGGACTGACGGGGTTCCGATGCCGCGGTTGTACGTGACAGGGAGTAGGGTCGCCCGTCCTTCCTCGTGCGTTTTCTCCTCCAGGTCCCCCGGGTTTCCTCCCACTACTAAAGACTCCTACGCGCAAGCGAATTATTCAAATACATTTGAACCATGTGTTAGTCCCGAAATGACCTAGTTTGTGTCTAGTGGACGTTGAAAATAGTATAATTTATACTTGAATCATATGGTAATATATAAAATAGTAACAAAGAGTTTTGTTTACTGGGGTGGGGTTTTTTGGGGTTTTTTTTTCGTTCTTGGGGGTTTAATTTGGGGTGTCATCTAATTGCTTATATTGCCTTACAATACAATAAACGCATGGGCCGCAACTATATTTCCCATGCAATGAAACGAAATTGAATGGAAATTATTTTTGTGAATAATAGTATGTTTAAATTATATAACCGGGGCCATTGGCAATATTATCATTATTCCAAATATATCTATATGTCGCAATAGATCTTACAACGTAGCTCTAATCAATGTTTGTTAATGTCGTGATTTTAAGTTAGGAGAGGGTGACGGCTGTCCTAAGTTAAAATTGGTTTTAATTAAAAATGTCCCTAAAATAGTTTTGTGAAACGCCACTATTTTAAGATACAATTTTA